CGTCATTTTCTTTTCATGTAACTTTACTTTTATCTAAGTCGTGGGGCCGGGCTTTGGTCCCCACAAGGAAGCACTCAGTCCCCACGAGGCTGCATTTTTTTCTGAAAAATCATCCTGTCGTTTTTTTCCCTGCTTTATGACCCCAATCATCTCAACYAACAGCATCCCCAGACTCTGTGGATGATCTGCTTGGTTCTGGCCTTTGCTGGGCTGGTGACCATAAGGACGAGCTGGTGTCAAGTCTGCAAGGCCTCTCTGTCAGTGACGGTGTGCGGAAGCTGCGAGACACGCCGCTTTGCCTGRCAGACAAGAAAGAGATCAGGTACAGATTTTTCCAGTTTGAACCAGAGATTTACATTTTATGTGCAAGAACGACTTCAAGTTCAAAAGGCAGAACAGTAGCTAAACACAAGCACAATCAAGCAAACATTAAGAGCTAAAATATGAGCAAGATTGCAGGTAAAAGCTCAAATTAGCAAAGCTAAAAGCTAAACGTAACAGAGCCTTACCGAAATGAAAAAATTAGTGAGACAAGGTAAAAGTGGCATGGGGGTGGGGTAAATGTGGGATATTTTTGTACATTAAGTTTAAGTGATTGAATGTATAAGGATAAAATAAAACCTGTCTTCATTGTATGTTCTCCCCAAGACGTGTGGCTTTCAGTTCTGTAGCTGAAAGTTCACTGATCAGGAGAAATATCACATTCTGCAGCCGGCCATGTGGGTCCGTTTCAAAGGTAAGTTTAAATGTATTCTTCAGTTTTATTCCTGCCTCTCACCCTGAAACAGTTTTGTGTGTTTCCTCCTCTCAGACTTGGCGCCACTGTGCACTCAGCAGCCTCCCTGTCCTCAGCTCCTTCAAGTTGTGGCATTCAGCCCTGAAAAGGCTGAGCGGGCGTTACGGGACCGGAGTGCTCTCCTACTTCCTGTTCCTCCGAACCCTCCTGTTCATTAACCTCCTCCTCTTTGTCATCACCGGCCTGTTTCTGGTCATTCCTCAAGCCATCCACCCTCCTCCTCCTCCTCCTCATGACTCACAGCAGGACTTGTTCTCGGGCCTGGACCTTCTGACAGGCACGGTGAGGCGGCTCTACGTCACATCATGAAGTTATTCAGATTCACGTTTTGTTTCACCTCCCTGGTTTGAGCTGTGACTTTTCTCCAACGTGTCATCTTTGGCAGGGTTACGTTTCTCAGAGCTTGATGTTTTACGGTTACTACTCAAATGTCACCATTAGAACCTGTGGGGACCGTTTCTGCGACAAAGACGAGTCACAGATGATCCCTTACAGCATTCCCACGGCCTATTTCTTCACTATCGGCATTGCCTTCTTCATTATCTGCATCATCCTGGTGTACAGGTTAGAAGCGGGGTGGAAGACTTGTATGATTATATTTTATATCCCCAAATCTGAAAAACTTGGGTTATCTAAAAAATAATAAAAATAGGAAGGAATAATTTACAAATCTCACAAACCCATGTTTTATTCAGATCAGAGCATAAACGTCAAGAAATTGCATCATGTTAATGGTAATTTTTTTTATATATTTTTGGCAGCAACAACTACAAGAAAATTGGGACAGGATGACATGCTTGATGGTGTCTTGCAGATGTGCATGCCAGATCCACTAATGCACCCCCATACAATCAGAGAGGCTGGCTTTTTAACTGTTTAGGCATTTGCATTTTTAAAAATGAATTCTAAAATTCAATTTGTCTCTGACCACTGAACAGTCTTCCACTTTGACGCAGTCCAGCTGAAATGAGCTTTTGCCCCTAAAATATGGGTTTATTATGACCCCCCTCACTTGTTTTTGTACTGTTTATTTATTATTTATTTTATTTATTTAGTTGTTTTTTTAGAGACTTTTGGTCAACCATAGCATGGAAATGGCTGCACCTAGCATGATGAAATTTGGTAGAAATGTAGATTGCCCGTAAATGGTTTTGCATAAACCCCATATTTCAAGTGGGGGAGCTACAAATGCGTGTTCATTAAGTACACCCAAAAGTGCTTTTACTAAAAATAACTGTCTCTGTGTATCATTTCTATATTTGTAAAGTACCTATGTTACAATTTCCTGGACAGTTTAGTATATATGACATCATGTGAATGTGGTTGATTTCATTATAACTCTACACAAATAGGCTACTGAGAACAGATCTTTGTGATGGACTTGCGACCTGTCCAGGGTGTACCCCGCTCCTCACACTGTGACTGCTGGATATGGGCACCAGTGACCCACGTAACCCTGAAAGGAAGAAGCGTGTACAGAAAATGGATGGAGAACAGATCTGTTTGCTTTGTTTCCCATCAACAAAATACTTTATTTGTACAGACAATTCCAAAGTCACTTCTCCTATAAATAACATAACGTCTTAAACAGGCGCAACCCGTATATAAGTTCTGGTGTGGGTGCTTTGTGTAAGTGCAGGGCTCATATATGCTATTGATATGTGGTAGTTGGATTTACCAACCATTGCATTCTGTTTTTATTTACATTTCACACAACACTCCCAACTTTTTCTGCCTCAGTGTTGCACGTGAATCCAACAGTTATGCCTGTCTTATTGTTTTACTCTGCTGCAGCTTGTCCAAGTCCTTTGGGAAAAGTTTCCAAGTCCTCAAGTCCAACCTGAATTTGTCAGAGAAGGTTTTCTGCTCCTGGGACTTCAAAGTCAGCAAGAAGTCATCCGTTCGACTTCAGTCTGAGAAAATCAGAACCCATCTCAAGGTATGTGATCGTTTTAATCGTAAGGCCAACTCACCTCTGACGTCTTAGTAAATTATTTACTTGTTTCCGTCTCACACTGGTGACTGTTCTCAAACAGGAAACAACTCAAACACGCATTTTCACACATTTCTTATTTTAGTAAAGAAGGGGAACTTTGCTGCACAGAGGGTCTAAATGGTGTTTGAGTTGAACCTCACGCAGGCTGCTTTTCTAACAGGAGCAGCTCTCAGAGTTGATCAGTGGAGAAGAAGAGAAGAGCTGCATGCATCGATTCTGCTGCTTTATCATCCATGGYTTAGCGTGGTTCATATGTCTGACGGGCATCTCCCTCAGCACCATGGCTGTCTACTTCCTGGCAGAGGTTAGAGGCAGCTTTTAGCACCTTCCGCACAACAAGACATTAAAAGATCTGTAAGAAATCTTTTTGAGTCAGTATGTAAATGAATGGGAAACCACTAAAAGCTTCCTGCCACAGTTAACTTCTGCTTTTTTTCCCCATCAAATACCCAACTTTATTTTCTGCTGTTGTTTTAAGACCTTAATTTCACCCACAAACACAAAGAATAAATGTCTCTTGTAAATGGTACTGAACTTATAGAGCGCTTTTCAAGTCCCTCCGGACCCCAAAGCACTTTACACTAACAGACAT